GCCTTAACCTCAACAATTTAGGGGATTTTGGGTTGGGATTGGTATTTTTTTTGTCCTTTCCTCCTTCTGCAACTGCTCCTTGACTGACTCTGCCCTGCAGTGCCCGGGCTGTTGGCTCCTGGGTCCGGACTCCACCCCGGAGCCTCCTCAGCCCCCTGTGACCTGTCCCTTTGTCCCCAGGGGTTTACAGGGGTGGCTGTGACACTCTGGTCCGGTCCAGGCTGGCGCTGGGTGACGGTGTCACCATGCAGGTGACAGTCAGGAGCAAGGAGGAGACCCCTGTGGATGTCATCCTGGCCTCTGTAGGCTGAGCCCCGCGGCGCGTCGGAAAGCTCTGCAGGAGCTCGGGGGGTGTTTCCTGGCTCTGACCTTCTGCATGTCGTTTTTATTCCTCCATTTGGTAAATATTTTGTATAATTAGTGGCTGGCTGGTACTGAGCCTCTCCGTGCCCCTTCCCTGGCTGTCACTTCACACATTCCTTGACTAACTTATTGCATCTCTGGGCACTTTTTAGTAGAGTCAGGGGAAGAACCAAGATGCAAGTGGTAAGAAAACTCCAATCAGACTTTTGTCCAAACTGATTTTTATTAACAGAAAATAAACACTGGTTCGAGTGGTGGAATTCCTATGAACTGCTGTTAATAAAATAGAAATCTCTTGTTCTCATTCTGGCTGCTTCAGTACAGAAAAAGTAGCCCACGAGGGCTGTCTACTCAACAGAGGACCCTAATTTTTTCAAGGAATACTATTTTAATGCTAGTTTAAAAAGGAATACTAGTTTAATTCTTACTTTAACAGCTGTCCTAGATCCCTGTGGCTCCAGTAGCTGTTGCTCAAAGAACCCCTTGGTGTTTCCTCCTGCCAGGATTATGTATTCAGCTTGCTCTAGTGACCCAGGGATGAACCTACCCTGGTAGAACCATGTCCTACAGCCAGGCTTTGGTGAAGCTCCTGAGATAGTCCCAGGGGTGTAAGGGCAGCAAGCAGCTCTGCTTGCTGAACTGAAAATCAGAGAAACGAGGGATGTGGTTAAAAACTTGAGGTTTAGAGCTTGCCTCTGGGTAACTGGCTGTTAAAAAGAGATTACTGACATCACTGCAGTGCTTAAATGCTCCTTCAGGGGTGCAGAGCCTCACTGCCTGGATTTTGGGGGTTTACACATCCAAGTTCTGCTCTATTTAGTGTAGAGCAAGCTCAATTTTCAAATCCTTTGCTCCTGACAAGCAGGCCAAGTGCTGGAACACTCAGCAGAGGGACAGAATTTCAACTGCCTGCACAGCAACTGGGGAAACCAGAGCCAGAGCAGCCCTCGTGGGACCATGTGCATCAGCCCTTGGCTGCTGGTGGTCCTGTCAACCTGTGCCAGGCAGCATTGAAGGTGCACAAGGATTCTCAGACTGATGTACATGCTCTGACCCCCCTCAGGTGCTCCTGTCCTCCCTTGAGTCCTCCTGGCTCTAAATACAGAGACAGCCCAGTCAAGAAGGAAGGTGAGGGCAGGGTTGGAAGAGCTGTCAGGGTCCTGTAACTCTCCTCAGGCTGTAGTTGTATCCTTGCCTCCCTGCAGGCTCATCTTACTCCACTGCTCAAAGGATTTAACAGAGTAAATGCAGCAGTTTTGGCAGCCAAAGATGAAGATGTCAGTGCAAAGAGTTGGATGTGGAGAGGAAATTGAGGTTTCTTAGTGATAGGACAAGAGGAAAGGGCCTCAAGTTGCCCCAGGGGAGGTTGAGGTTGGATTTTGGGAACAATTTCTTGCCCTGGAGGGCTGTGGAGGCCTGTGCCAGGCTGCCCAGGGCAGTGGTGGAGTCCCCACCCCTGGAGGGGTTTCCAAGCCGTGGAGATGTGGGGTGAGGGACACGGGGCAGTGGGGACCTGGCAGTGCTGGGGAAGGGTTGGACTCAATCATCTTTAAAGGTCTTTTCCAACCCAAATGATTCTTTGATTCTTCTTGCCCCCAAAGCCTGATAACCAGAGAAGAAGGGTGAGCTGCAGCAGCTCAGAAGGAGTTGATGAAGTTCAGGTAGGCATTCAGGAAGCCTGTGGGGTCCTCCAGCTGGGGGTAGTGGCTGATGTGGTCATCCAGCACCGACACTGTGGACATGGGGAGCACCTTCCTGTTGGGAGAATGCAGCAAGGCTTGAGCCCAGGAACCTCCTGCACAGGTGGGGTCCTGCCCAGAACAGGGTTTGGGGGCAAAAAATAAAAGCTGGAGCAGCTCCACCACTCTACAAGTGCTGGATTTACTTCAGGTTAGGACTGAAGTTGACCTCAGTCAATAAATGTTGCTGGTGTCTGAAGTGAGTTTTAAAACCATGCTTGGTTTGAGTGGCAATTGTGATTTGGAGGCCTCAAGTGGGGAAGCAGTTTCCAAACTGCTGAATCCCCTGGCTGGGCAGGTCAGAGGTGGGAATTCAACCCAACCTCCACAAAAAGGCAACAGGAGGGAAAGTCCTGAGAGAAAATCTCCCCCAAAATGAGAGCCCCGTGGCCAACTCCTGCTCTGTGGTGGGTGTTGCCTTACTTGTAAAGCTGCAGAAACTCTGGGTGTGGATTCACAGGGTCCAGGGGCCCATAGATCAGATGCACTGCAAGGGAGAAGCACAGACAGAGCTTTGAGGCCCAAGGACAGCCCTAAACCAAGCCAAGGAGACCTGCTCAGACACATCCCCCCCTCCCATGGAGCTTGGGAAGATCTCAGCAGAGCATTGAGTGAACCAGCTGCTGAAAGGGCTCTTGCTTCTCCCTCCTGGGGTCAAGTTCAGCCTCCAACCCTCCTCCTGCAAAGGCCAAACCTCTTCTTGAGTGGCTGCAACTTCTCTTGAGCTTGAAAAGCACCTGGATTTCCCTGGGGGGGGCAGCTGGAGAAACAAGGCTGTGACCCAGCCTCTAAAGGAAAGTTACTTCTCAGTGGAACAAACTTTGTCCTCTTCCCTTCATGCTCTCACAGCTCTCCACTGGAACCAGACCTTAAACCAGAGCAGGGAAGTTTGTGGCACCACCCCCTGCCCAAACTGCATTTTTGAGCCACGTTGTCCCCACCAGAATAACAAGAAGCTCCAGCCACGAGTGGAAGCTCCAGTGCCTGCAGGTGATCCCAAATTTCCCAACCAGTAAATGAAAGAAAGGAGATTCCTACTCACGTGGGACAGAGGTGGACATCAAAGCCCCAACCCAACGGTCTCTGTGCTTCTTCCTCTGGTTTATGTACTGCAAAATACTGAAGAGAAACCTCTTGTTAGGCAGTGGGGGGTAGCTTGAGGTGCTGCACAGCCTGGAAATGGCTCTCAGGACAACATACACTGAGGTGGCATCTGCATCCCTCCCAGACCACCTCCCTGGGGCAGCAGCAACACAAAAGCAGCCTGTGGACTTGTCTAAGGTGTTTTATTTATACAGCAAATAAAAGTGTAGATGAGGTTGGGACTCAGTCCAGGTCTCACCCCTGCCAGCTCTGTGACCTAAGTGCAGAGTCCAGCTGGGAGTCCTGCTGGAGGACAACCCAAGTTCATTGAGGGAGGAAAAAAAACCACAAGGTTTGAATTTGGTCCTCGGCTTCCAGGTCATAGAATCAGTTGGGTTGGAGAAATTCTTTGAGATCCTCACATCCAACCAGCCCCCCAGCCCTGCCAGGTCCCCACTGCCCCGTGTCCCTCACCCCACATCTCCACGGCTTGGAAACCCCTCCAGGGGTGGGGACTCCACCACTGCCCTGGGCAGCCTGGCACAGGCCTCCACAGCCCTCCAGGGCAAGAAATTGTTCCCAAAATCCAACCTCAACCTCCCCTGGGGCAACTTGAGGCCCTTTCCTCTTGTCCTGTCCCGTGTCCCTTGGGAGCAGAGCCCGCCCCCCCCCTGGCTCCAGGCTCCTGTCAGGAGCTGTGCAGAGCCAGAAGGTCTCCCCTGAGCCTCCTTTGCTCCAGGCTCAGCACCCCCAGCTCCCTCAGCTGCTCCTCCCCACACTTGGGCTCTAGACCCTTCCCCAGCAGCTCCGTTGCCCTTCTCTGGCCACGCTCCAGCCCCTCAAGGGCCTTCTGGGAGGGAGGGGCCCAAAACTGCCCCCAGGATTGGAGGGGCAGCCTCCCCAGTGCCCAGCCCAGGGGGACAATCCCTGCCCTAGTCACCCTGGCTACATGTCAGGGGTTTGGACAAGACAGCATTCACGTTCACCCGTGGCTGCAGCTGGTAGTGGCAGTGTTGTCCTCCCAGATTCTTCTGACTAGAGACTTCATTTCAGAAAAACACAGAATGGTTTGGGTTGGAAAGGACCTTAAAGATCATCTTGTTCCAGGCCCCCTGCCACGGGCAGGGACACCTCCCACCAGACCTGTCCAGCTTGGTCTTGAACACCTCCAGTGATGGAGCATCCACAGTTTCTCTGGGCAACCTGGGCCAGGGTCTCACCACCCTCAGAGTGAAGAACTTCTTCCTAATTTCTAATCTCAATCTCCCTTCTTCCAGTTTGAAACAACCACCCCTTGTCCTATCACTACAAGCCCTTGTAAAAAGTCCCTCCCAGCTTCCTTGTAGGCCTTCCAATATCTGAAAGGGTCCTACAAGAATCCTCCTTTCAAGGAGTTATAGAGAGCAAGGTCTCCCTGGAGCCTTCTCCTCTCCAGGCTGAACAACCCCAGCTCTCAGCAGAGTCATTCCAGCCCTCTGACCATCTTCATCTCCCTGCTCCTCCATCACACCCCAGCTCTGTTTCGGGGTGCAGCAACCATCCAAGACCCCAAGAGAAGCAGCTGGAGGCTCTGGGGAGCAGACCTGCAGGCACCTGGCCCAGCTCTGGTGACCTCCAGGCTGCTGGTGGCTCTGCCCGTGGACAGAGGGACGCTGTGGGGATCAGGTGGAGCCCGTGCAGCTCTTGAGGAGGTACCTGTCCACCACCAGGTTGCCATCGTTGGTCCTCACGGCCGTCCACATGTCCCAGTACTCTGCCTGTGAGGGCTGTGTGTAGGGCCCAAAGACAGCCCCGAGCCTGGAAGGGAAGAGTTGAGGGACATCAGCAGCAGCTCTCTTGGTGCAGAGCTCAAAAAACAGCCAAAAAAACCTCCCCAGTGCTTCCAGCTTCCACTGAGAAACGTGTGGGTGCCAAGTTGTCCCCCAGTTGTCCCCGGTGTTGGGTTTATTGGCCAGTCTAAAGGGCTTTCTGGAGAAATAGAGGGGGTGTGGTGTACCCTTGGGAACCCCTCCAGGGGTGGGGACTCCACCACTGCCCTGGGCAGCCTGGCACAGGCCTCCACAGCCCTCCAGGGCAAGAAATTGTTCCCAAAATCCAACCTCAACCTCCCCTGGGGCAACTTGAGGCCGTTTCCTCTTGCCCTACATTGGTCACATCCCCTGCTCAGGCTGTGGCCAGCAGCACAGAGACCCAACTCACCCTCTGGAGAAGAAGAAGAAGTTCATCAGCCGTGTGATGACGGGTGACAACCAACCCCCATCCTTGAGGATCTTGGGCAGAAGAGGAAAAAGGAGACAGCACCACTCAGTGTGGTACAGCAGGGTCACCCTGCCTCCCTGGAGGCCTCTTCCCTGCCTCCCCCTCTTCCAGCAGTCTCAGCTCACCCCCCCCAAGATGTCCACGAGCTCTTGGTGCTTCAAGGGGTGATTTTGGGACCCTCAGCTGCGGGGAGCTGCCCCCTGACAGCCCCTTCTCCCTGCTGCCAGGTGCCATCACCACAGCAGGAGACACCCCAAACTCCTGGAGTCAAACCTGTGCTGGAGGGGTGACCCCCAGGGCAGCAGCTCACCTTCTGGATGAAGCGAGGGTAGTGTGTTTCTGGGAAGATCCCTGCAAGGAGGTCAAAGAACAGACCTGCAGCACTACCAGTGTTTCATTCTGCACCTCCCAGTCTCTCCCCTTCTTCGTGGTGCCACAGAAGGTGGCCCAGGCAGCCCAAGGATGGAGGCTCTTGGTTCATTATAGCACTTTAATGGCAATTTGCTTGGGGTTCAGGCCCTGTGGACCCCCAGCCCACCCACCCCACCTCATTAAAACCTCACCTCCATTGGATAAACACAGACTGTTGATCAAGATGCTTCCAGTTTTATTGTGCTCATACCTGGGGGACAGAAAAGAAGAAGGTGAAGTACAACTAGATCTTCTCCAGGCTCCAAGAAGTGACCGACCAGCAGGTCAAATGAACAGTGTCAGGTATCTCTGCACCCCTGTTGTCCCCAGGTCAACAAGATGGAACTCAGGAGGGAATTCAACATCCTACCAACCAGGAACTGATGGATGCCCACCAGGGATGTGCCCTGAGGAACCCTCCCCAGCCTCCACCACAGCTGTAGGTATGGGAGAGAGGGGATTCTGTGCTACACCCTTCCACTTATCTGCTGGAAATGGTCTCGATGGGGACAACAGAGAGCAGGCAGAGCCTCAGTGGCTGCAGTGACCTGTGCAGCAGCTCCTGTGCCACCGTGTCGCCGTAATCGTGGGACAGGAGGTTGATCCTCTGGTGCTGGAGGCCGAGGTGATGCACCAGCCCCTCCACGATGCTGGCCTGCTCAAAGATGGAGTAGTGGTGGGGCCTCTGCGAAGCAGAGCAGGAGATGGAGCTGCAGTCAGAGCCTGACCCACCAGGAGCCCACAACCCCCCCTAGAAACACCCAAATACAGGAGTGGAGACCAGCAGTTTGTGACCTGCACAGAGCAATTGGGATGTCCCAGGCCAGCAGCTACGTCTACAAGCCCATGGGAGCTCTGCCCACGCCCCAAAGGGGCTCAAGGTGTGTTTTGGAGTCACATCAAACCCAAGTGATGTCAAGTTGGTGATGGAGCTGATCTCCACCACACACCTTCCCCACCCCTTCTGCTGCTGTAAGCCCTTTTCCAGAGGTAAATGGGAGAAGAAACCAGGCTGCAAACATCAATTTTTTTGAGGAGGCTGATGCAGCAGAACCTCCAGGCCCAAAGCAACTTCAACCATCTTTCTCCTGGGTGTCCTCAGCTACTTACAGGCTTGTCACTGAAACCGAATCCGACGAAATCCAGAGCGATCACCCGGTGAAACCTCTGGGTCAGCCCTTCCCAGATCTGGGGAGAGGAGAAATAGCCTTTAAAAAACCTGGAGAGAGGAAAATTCTGTGGTGATGCAGCCCCAAGAAAACATCAGGAGGTTGAAATCCCCCAATAAACAGCAAGACCATCCCCACCAAAAAAAAAAAGCCAAGAAGTAGACGTGGGTCTTTTCCTCCCACTTTGGGCCGGGGTGTAGGAGGAGGGGATGTGAAAAGAGCCCCCAAGCCCACCCTGGGATTGCCCCCCTGACCTTGCACCAGTCGTAGCTGGAGGTGGGGAAGCCGTGGAGGAGGAGGATGATGTCGGAGCTGCCCACGGCGCCGCTGGAATCTGGGGAGGGGAAGGGGCACCTCAGGGGTGGCTTTTTGTCCCCCCGATTCCTCCCCACGAGGCAAAC